CTGAGAACAAAAACAGTAGTCTACACTTCAGCTCTACACCGAAGCGAAGCGAGGGCGGGCCGCTAATGTCTGTATAAATTGCATTATCAACGCTTTTTTTTAAATTGTAAATTCGCTCTTCGGCTGTTTTTTTAATTCTGATAAAAATAGTGATTTGTTCGTCTATGTTTGATGCTTTATCGGTTTCTTATCTCAATATTGATGCTTAATATATTAACAATATAATTCAACTAACGTAAAGAAATCAAGAACCGAAAGATTGCGAAATGTCAGTTAATAAGGTCATCGGAGAGTTTTATGACGACCTCCGTGGATGGGTAGTTAGTATGAACGCCGGCTTTCAAGGTGAAGCCTATTCGAGAGATACCGGTTCGAATGCCGCTGGGGGCAGATGTTCGTCTGATGAATACGAGCATTAGTACTCCAGTCATGGATGTTTCATATGTATTTATATATAAATATACTTATATATGTATCGTATATAGTATATGTCTTCTATCCGTTACCCTAGTATCCCATAACACAAGCCTTACAGTGCATACTTTGAGGCTAGGCTAATTGGTGTGTGTTTTGGAAATATTTATATATTTATTTTAAGCATATAACTGGTATATGAAATTTTAGGGAAGGTTTCGAATCCCGTCTGAAACACGGTTCGAGTGGATTTATTTTTCTAGTTAAAAAAAACTTTAGATTTCATTAGGGAGTTAAGTTTATTGGTTTTGAGATGTGAAGCCACAGAAATGGAAGTGAAAGAAAGGTTTTGTCGTTCTGTTACATCTGTTAAAAAAAATATAAATGTATCTTTTGTAAACATTCACTATCAGGAAAAATCTAAGCGTATTTTACTTAGTTAGGTTTTACTCTTTAAACCTGGTTCTGGTTTAAGTGAGAATCAAACATAATATAAAATTTTACAACGAAAATTTTAAGTGAATTATTAAAAGGTAGTGTAAATGTATTTTGTATTTATTGCTATACCGTAAAGTTTATGTTTGTTTGTATTTTATACTCCTACAGAGCAGAGTTTGTTGGTAGCTAACTTCATGTGTAATTTCCTAACACAAACACGATGTGAGTTTCAATGCGATTCCAATTCGAAATTCCATTTCGAATCCAACTCCAAAATTGAAAGCATTTCTAATCTTATTACATATGTTTCAAATAAACTTCTTAGAATTCAAAAAAAATAAGCTTTTAGTATTATGTTAAGATTGGGAACCCATTAGCATATTTAAAGACATTATGTGATGGAAGTTGACCTCAACACATGTTTGCAAGTTTGATGTCAACTTTCAATTGGACGACACTGTATGAAATAAAACAGGGAGAAAAAATCAGCCCTTGCTGAGTCTCTCTCTGAGAGAAGAACCGGTTTTTCTCAATACAAGGTCTCCCGCCATAGATTTGCGAACCGACGGCGTAGCTTTTCGACATTCACAAGTGCTTGTAACAGCCTAGACTGAATAAACGATATTGAATTTTGAATTTTTGAAAGGCCAGTATGTTTTTTTTTAGAAAATTTAATATATAACAGAAACACACAAACTTAACGAATGAAATTAACACGTAGTTCGTGGGAATGCTGTAGTAATTATTGTTATTCAGTAAATTAATGAGTTATTATTCGTAAACTGACCGAAAGATTTTTGTGTTTAATGTTATTCAGTAAATTAATGAGTTATTATTCGCAAACAGGCCGAAAGACTTTCGTGTATTTCATACATAAATGCGATTTTATATTACTATAATGATAAATAAAACTAGTTTTCACGGGTTACAGCTACGTTACGGCTGCCGTGAGAATCAAACTTTTATTTTATTTGTCGAGCTACCTTCCTTCTACTTATAAATAAAGAAAGTTTCTTGCATTAACCCGTAAAAACTAGTTTTATTTAATGAGTGATGTGCGTGAAAACCTAAGAAACAAATATACTATAAAGATATTTTCATACTTTAACAATAAAATACTGTAAAACTGTGGCCGCCAGTGCTCACACACACACGCGTTGTAATTGTATGAAGCTGTCTCTGTACCTTCTTTACTCATGTAATATGGGATGACACTCCTTTAGAGTAATATCGAGACAGCGGTCTGATGTTTATAAGCACCGAGTATGGATAAGCAACCACCTCAATGTTTTGAATACGTAAGAATCGCTATTGAACAGAACTCGTTTATCATCGGTTGAAAACATAGTTTTGGAGTCTGGACGTCGGATGTAAAATTGCAAGTCGAGATCATTAAAAAACAAAAACACCGAGATATACATCATCATCATGAGGAGCTCGATGGCGCAAGTGGTTAGCGCGTTCGGCTGCGATCGTTGAAGTTAAGCAACTTTCGCAGTGGTCGGTCATTGGATGGGTGACCAAAAATTACTATCTCGCGGGCCTAGTGCGGATTGGTGGGTGCTTTTTTTTTGCTGGGTAGGTGCTAACTACTGCAGATGCAACCGGGACCAACGGCTTAACGTGCCTTCCGAAGCACGGAGGAGCTCGAGATAGTAATTTTTTGGTCACCCATCCAATGACCGACACTGCGAAAGTTGCTTATCTTCAACGATCGCAACCGAACCCGCCAACCAGTTGCGCCATCGAGCTCCTCCGAGATATACGCTTTTGTACAAAAGATGATCCCTTAAATCGATGTTGATGAATAACAAAAGAGGTTTTCATTTAGACAAATGAAAACTATTTCTGTGCCTTGTGCAGCGATGAGAGGGCTCTTGTTTATTAATTGATGCTCTCCGCGTTGTAGCAGGTTGATATAAACTGAATTACTTATTCGTCTAAGTTCTTGGGTTCATTCTTCTTACTCTTTTACACCTCGTATTAGTTCTAGCTCTTTTCATTACACATTCAAAGATTACTATGTTTATCTTTATATATAAAACTCAAAGGTGACTGACTGACATAGTGATCTATCAACGCACAGCCCAAACCACTGAACGGATCGGTCTGAAATTTGGCATGCAGGTAGATGTTATGACGTAGGCATCCGCTAAGAAAGGATTTTGATCAATTCTACCCCGAAGCGAAGCGAGGGCGGGCCACTAGTTATTTTATAATTGTTTACTTTCTATTTACTGCTAAGAAATAAAAAGAAATGAACCTAATGTTTTAAGCCTGAAGCATGGAACGGCAAGTTTGTCCTTATTTCTTGTATTAAGATCATGAACGGTACTTATAACGTGCAAAATTGTCATGATTTCTTCTTTAAGAACACGATATTTTCATAGGTATATCGACACCAGCAAGGAAAAACATCGTAAGTAACTACAGGGAGGCATACAGTGTAAAAATAACTGCTTAAATCCATTAAATCTTAATAACAAACTATCTCGAAAATTTCAATAAACAGGAATTGATCATACAGACAAATAACAACTAATTTCAAAAGTTACAATAATTTCAATATTCCAGATTCAAGAATATCATTGTATCTGTTTTACTATAGACTGAGTTACGATGTTTTTCCTTGCAGGTATCGATACTAATATCTTTAAAAAAATTATCTAAGCGATTCTCGTGGTAAATTGTATAAAACACGGATAGCTCTCTTTTGTAAAATGAAAATATTTTCGTTTTAAAGTAAACCAATCTTACCGCTTCTACATCTTATAGAAGTCTGATTTTCTTAACCGCTTAAGCTACCGATCTTAGTCTCCTTGATAAGGCATCAATATAAGGATCCTATTGCATTCCGGAATCTAAAGTGATTGCCAGAAACTTTGTAGACTTTACTATAACAACTGACTAGTTGCTTATATTTATATTAATATTGACACTTCTCACATTAGGTAGGGTAAATTTCACATATTTGGTTTTATTCAAGTTTAATTTTAAATGGTTCTCTCTCTCTCTCTCTCTCTCTCTCTCTCTCTCTGATTAACTGTAAAATAATATTTGTTTGTTTCTTGTAAAATAATGTAAAACTTTAGAGAGAGTAGTATTCACATAGTCATAACATTCACCACGTTTAAATCTTAAACTCCAAAGAGGTATCATTAGTAAATAATACTGTCTCACATTTATGTAGATAGGAAAAAGCAATGAGCCAAATTTTGATCCCTGGGGCATGCCCATAGTGATGAGTGCAGCTCCTGTAGGCTGTGCCTCATTAATAACAAGTTTTTTAGGTATGTATTTTAAATAATTAACATTTTTAGGGTTCCCGTACCTCAAAAAGAAAAAACGGGATCCTCATAGAATCACTTTGTTGTCCGTCCGTCTGTCTGTCAAGACCGTTTTTCTCAGGAACGCGTAGAGGCATCAAACTGAAATTCATATCTAATACTCATGTCTACTGTCTACTTGTAGCTGTGAAAAAAATCAAACTTCTAAGCCAAAGTAATCAAAAGATACAGCCGTTTATGCCGCAAATTTCCGCAAATTTTCGAAACTCGCACGGGATTCATAACCAACAGGGACCGTGAACTTAGAATCTTGAAATTTGGTACGAAGTCACGTCTTATAGTACAGGTAAAGGAAAAATTACGAAAACCGTAAATTTTTACTCACATCATATAATTAAAAATATTTTTGAAAATTTTAAAGTTACTACCTTTTTTCTCATGAACGCGTAGACGTTTTAAATTGAACGAAATAGTTTGTACGGAACCTTCGGTACGCGAGTCTGACTCGCACTTGGCCGGTTTTTTTAAGCACGTAACTGCAAGATGTTTAAATCAGAATAAAGTTTTACTAGAAAACAATTCCACGCGGACCACGCACCAGACGTGATTGTGGGTTACTTTTAATGCGAAGCGAAGCTTAAGAAAGGCTAAAGAAAATACGACACGGCCATCAGGGCCGCGGTAACATAATGGCCAGTGCATTCGCCCGGACAGCGAAGGGTGCGGGTTGAAGTCCCGTGTGCTGCCTTGTCCGCGTGCATTTATTTCTAGAAAAATAGTCTAACTATTTTTGATTTAAAAAAAATAGATCAATCTACCTATATGTAAATATCTTTATTTAAACAAGGTTTTTGTCACCAGGCTGCAAGCACAGCCGCGGCACCAATGAGCACAGCCACCGCAATGGCCGACACCGCGACCACACCTGCGACAGCTCCTGGGCCCTCATACAGAGCGCCGCTGCGTTCATGTCCGAACGACACCCTGACACACTGGAGTTCGTGCTTTGGACAGGGTGTGTATATCATCAGGTTTTTTTATCCATCGCCTAACCTACAGAACTACACCTAAATGTCGCCGCACACGGGCCACACGCCACAGCCACAAACGCCGCCACGAGAAGTTAGAAGCGGCTACTTAAGTGGCCGAAGCGCGCGACAGCGGCCGACAAAGGTAAGGGAGAGAGAGGTGGGGAATCGCGCGAGTGACGTGTGGCGGCGTTTTGTATCGGCACATTAAGAGGCCGGTGCGGGCCACAAGAAGCGAGCAACGACGATTTGTAGCGTGTGGCGGCCACCGGCGTATCGTGTGTGGCGAGTCCATAAAAAATGTATGAAAACTACAAGAAATATGCCGGTGGCGGCGTTTTGTGGTTGTGGTCGGTGGCCCATGTGCGACGACAATAAGTAGATGACGCAAGCTTCAAATTGAATTAAAATCGAGTGTCAAATTTTGAGTACTCACGAGAGTCCCACACTACAACGGCTAATTAGAGCCGAGGTCCGAGTCCTGGTGGCGCTCTCTAGAAGAGCCGACCCCAGTCAGATTCAAGTTGTCTAGTGGCTCCAAACAACCACTGCAAAAAAATGCGTTAAAGAAAGAGCTTCGCTCTTCCTTTTGCCATGATTTTGGCACGTAAAGTACTTTTACTTATGTTGTATTTTGATTGATGTCTCTGGTTTAGTCAGTTAGTCGAGAAGAAGCGTACAGATTTGTTCTATTTAAGAGAAATAGGACACAGCGGATTTCTGCTTAAAATACAGCGCCCGTCTGGGGAAACAACCTCCTCCTTACAGAAGACTTCAGTAAAATAACACTATCTTTTGGTGATGTTGTGTTCCTGCTGGTGTATAGAGTTCTAGGGCTCCTCGAGATAGGGGATTGGGGCCGGGTCAGCAAGCTGAAGATGGCTGGAGCGGCACAACTTCTACCGCATTATCTATCTTCACGATTAGACTCCGCTCAGACTTAAAATCAGGTGGAGTGGGGTATTTTTTTGCACTTCGTATAAAAGAATAGCTATACTATGTGGATGAGTTGATATCGCCATATACATATTTATTATTTTTTGGTAAAGTGAGGAAGGTCATTTATGTTGATAAGAAAAAGCAATGGGCCTAATATTGATCCCTGGGGCACGCCCATAGTGATGAGTGCTGCTCCTGCAGGCTCTGCCTCATTAATAACAAGTTTTTTAGGTATATATTTTATTTTTAGGGTTCAAAAGGAAAAAACGGAACCCTTATAGGATCACTTTGTTGTCCGTCCATCCGTCCGTCTGTCTGTCAAGACCGTTTTTCTCATGAACGCGAGAAGGTACCAAACTGAAATTCATACCTAATACTCATGTCTACTGTCCCTTGGAGCTGTGAAAAAATCAAACTTCTAAGCCAAAGCAATCAAAAGATACAGCCGTTTAAGCCGCAAACTGCCGCAAATTTTCCCGTGAACTTAGAACCTTGAAATTTGGTACGAAGTAACGTCTTATAGTACAGACTAGCAGCCCGCCCTCGCTTCGGTTCGGTGTAGAGCTGAAGTGTAGACTACAGATTTGTTCTCAGTATTATACACAATGACATTCATCTATGATTCTTCTTATACCTGCATGCAAAGTCAGCCCGATCGGTTTAAAATTGACAAAGTTTCATACAAACTTTCATTCCCTATTTTATCCCCTTGGGGGTAGAATTGATCAAAATCCTTTCTTAGCGGATGTCTACGTCATAACATCTATCTGCATGCCATTTTCTAGCCCGATCCGTCCAGTGGTTTGGGCTGTGCGTTGATAGAGCTCTATGTCAGTCAGTCAGTCACCTTTGAGTTTTATTTTTTTATATAGATAAAGGAAAAATTGCAAAAACCGTAAATTTTTAGTTACAACATATTTTAAAGTTCCTACCTTTTTTCTCGTGAACACGTAGAGGCAATTTATTGAACAGGGTGAATATTGATCTATGTATGTACCTACATACATCACCCTGTCAGCCACAATAACAATGAGAAAGTAAGACGTTTCATTTAAATTAATGACTCCACGCCACCTGATATTTAAAGTAAGTGGAACGCGATGCGAGAATATAATATAAATGGTTCGATTATTACAAAATCCTTATGCCTAATAGATTAAGACACAAAACACAACGTTATATTAATATAAGTTATTTACGGGATTGTTACCATGTACCTTGTTTTTAGCGAGTTTCCGATATTTCTCGAGTTCTAGTATATATAGTCTAGTCTATATACAGTCTAGTATATATTTAGCGAGTTTCCGATATTTCTCGAGTTTTAGTATATAGTCCAGTTCTAGAGTTACTCCGTGATCATGGCGCTTGCAACAGTGCCGAAATATCGGAAACTCGCAAAAACAAGGTACATAATAACAATCCCGTAAATAACTTATAGTACTATAATGCTAGTGACCATGAAAGTTTAAAACAATATATTAAAACACAACGTAATAATCATAAAGTATATAGGTGAAATAAGTTGACATTAAAATATTTGCTGAGTGAGGTGTAAGTTCCCCCAAACTGTTTTTTATTAGGTGGGTACCTATATGCGTCATATATAAATGTTGCAGTAGGGACATTCAGATTTTCTCATTGACAGAGCTTTTTTTTCTATTAATTTTCTAAAAATAACTAACGCTACAAACCTGAATGTTGGCTTAGTATAGTCGCCGTCATAAGAATCTGTTAAATATGATAAATAGAATAATTTAATTTATTGCACTGTTTTACTTGAAAAAGAATGGTTTCTACTATATATACAGGGTGTAAAAAAACATAAAACGAAGTCGAAGGCCACGTATTTTACACATCATGACGATCATTTTATGGAGATATTGAAGGTCAAAACCAAAATATTTTTTTCAAGATTAATATTTTCAAAACGTTATTTAGAAACTTTTTTATCGATGCACTTACACACACGCACACTCATACACACAGGCACATTCTTTGCGTAGCGCCACAGTAAAGCGCCGCGCTATACATTGCGTACTGGAAAAAAATGTATTTTTTTAACTTAAAAATACAATATTTTCTCACGTACAATATTTTGTAATATGACTTATTTGGGTGTACATGTACATGCGTAGGTTAAATCTTTGTCATAGATTTTTTTACATCCTGTATATAGGTAGTCTTAGGCCCGTATTATAGAAAGATTCTCAGTGATTGATCTAGTCTTGAGCATAGTTAGACTAACTATACTACTACTTTCTAACTGTTCTCATGTAAAGATCAACACTTAGTTGTCATTCTGTAATACGGGCCTTAACTTAGTAGTACGGCGGGCTGTTTCCGCAATTCTACACCCAGTGCCCATTTTGCGTGGGGATTGGCATCAGTCCTGCCATCCCAGCTCCTCCAGAAAGCTCAGCAGTCCCCGAATGTTGCTGCAGGCTTCTACTATTGTTTCGGGCTTCCCATTAGAGAAGTCCTTTGTCTTGCAACGCCCCTGTACTCCAGTAGGACATGGGCGCTCGTCTTCTCCTCCTCCAGGCAGGCTCTGCACAGATGGCTGTCAGAAATACCTATATTACAAAGGTGTTTGTTGAAGTAGCCGTGACCCGTGAGTATACCCACGATTTTTTTAGGGCTTGTCTAGGTAGTCTGATTAACTTACGTGTTAGTATAGATACTACCTATATAAATAAGTATATTTATAATGTAAAAAATATAAATACCCCAGTTTATAAGATTTAACTTATTTTATATGAACATCATATTAATATACCCATTTTGTATATAAACTTCAAGTTTATGCTTTTTAATACGGTTGCAACGAACATAATATGTTAAGATAAACTATAAGCATGGCTTACTCTAAGGCCCTAATGAAGTGAACAAAGAGTATGTTTTGTTCATTTTTGAGTTTTTAGTGCAGTAAATAAAAGTTTTTCAAACTATTAATTTTTCCTATACGAAATGCCCAACGATGGGCAAAATTTTTTTAAGTGTAAATTAATCTTCACTTTAAAACTAAATCCTTAGGAAAAGTTAACATTTTAGCTACGTTTTCGATTTCGGTAGAACACCTTTGCGTTTAAATATTAAACCTAATGTTTACAGTCCCTGTATCAAAGAAAACAGCCGACGATACTTTTACAAATACACCCGCAGAGCGATTTTGTAAAATAAAATCTCTCTTTCGAATTAGATGACTCCAATTATAGACATAACTTTAATATTCATGACTTCATTATCTGGCAATAATTATATTTTAATTTCTGTTGAAGCATTCCAGTAATATATATTTTTGACATTTGTCAGAAAGTCGTATTTATGAAATTGGAAGTGTCCAATTTTCCGACAAATGTCATTAAAAATTCAAATTCAGATACAATCTCACAAGATTGTATCTGAATTTGAATTTTTAATTCATTGCAAGTTACAGTATTCCTAAAAGGCTAGTTGACTCAAGTCAAATTGTACTATACAAATGTTTATTTCTTATAATTTTTGCTATGAGGATCCTAAATACATTGATTTCTCTTCATAAAATTAGAAGATGGCTGTAGTAATTTAATTTGAAAAAAAGTTTTTAGTCTATACTTTTTAAACACTAAAACCGCCGGTCCACCATGATTGTGATGTCACAAATATTGTAACCAACTAAACGTCATTTTCGTGTTACTCTGGTTCCTTTCGTCGAACTAAAATAATTTTAGACTTTTATAGGGGAAACCACCCAATCATTGGCACTCGTCCTATTATTGGCACTTTGAGTTTAATTCGAAAAAAACAAGGAGACAATAGATTTTTCAAGGTCGTTACATATTAAAAAGAAAATCCTAGTATGGTTACGAAATTTGAAAATTCGCAGCATTATTCCTACAATCCACTGTTTCCTGTTTTTTTCGAACTAAACTCAAAAGTGCCAATAATAGGAAGAGTGCCAATGATTGGGCAGTTTCCCCTATCTTGTAGAAAAGTTTCTGTTTATTGGTTTTGTTTGTGAAAGCAGAAACCACAAAACTCTTTAACTTAGTAGGTACATTCATAACCT